CTAGAGGTGGGCTGGGCTGAGGGACATTCCCCCTCACCCCCACCCAGTGCACGAATTTCGTGCACCGGGCCCCTAGTAAGTATATAGTTCCCAACACGTGTATGATATAATCATTACCGTACTAGAAGCAAAATAAAAGCATTTATCCTATAAAAGCAGTGTATAAGTCTGCTCTATGTTTACATTCTGATAAATCACAAAATAAGGGATGCTTATTCTTAGTACATTTCTACAGGATTATTTTATCTTTCATTCTGAAAGAGGCAGGCATAGATATTGAGCAAAATCCTTTGACTTACAAGAATATGTTTCAAAACCACTGTGTTGATATGCCAAAGTATTAACTAGAATCTTTTATTCAGGAAAAAAAAATGTGTTCACAACTAATTTACTAGCAGAAAAAAGTACTCAGTAATTATAACCTAATGTCACAGAAGTATACGTAAAAAAATATAAAGCAATATTGGAATTTACTAAGATCCTGTAAGGGCTGGCTCATTTTTGAGGAAATACAATCAGGCAGCCACCACGAACCTTATCATTGAGATGTCTGCGATGGTGTAGGACTCTGAGTCACTAACCATGTTCCCAGTCACTAATTCCTGTATTATCATGAAAAGATTAACAACATTGATGCCCAAACAATGGAGTCCCACCCCAGCCTTCATAGCCTACTTCCCCATGCCTGTACTAATCTTTATCCTACCCTATATCAACATCTGGCTTTATGAGGTGCACAGATTTTTGTGGGTGGATGATCTGCTGCTTTCCCATACTGCCGGCTGTATTGGAAGAAGTGCTCCTAAGAGATTGGACCCTGTCTCTGCTTGATTGGCTCAAGCAGTGACAGGCAGCCTGGGCACACTGATTCACCGGTTACAATGCCATCCCCCACTCCGACTCATCTCCATGGAGTCTCACTGAGACCTTGTTTTCTGTTTCTGTTTGTTGTTAATCCTCACCGGAGCATATTTTTCCATTGATCTTTTAGAGAGAATGAGAGAGAGAGAGAAAGACAGAAACATCCATGTAAGAGAAACACATCGATTGGTTGCCTCCTGCACGCGCCCCAACCAGAGCCGGGGCCAGGGAACCTAGGTACAGTAGCCTTGACCGGAATCAAACCCAGAACCCTTTGGTGCGCAGGCCTAGGATGAGACCCCTTTCTCAATTAACATTGTCATTTGATGAAATCATGAAAATCACCCAATCTTGTTTTCATGGCCCTTAAGGGCGATTTCTTGGGCTTTGCTCCATGCCCAGCCCTGTGCAAGGTGCTCACGGTCCAGATCCTCTACAAGCCCATGAGAGGTGTTTCTTTGCTTCCCTCCCTCCCTCCTTCACTTCCTTCCAGATTTACTGAGCGCCTGTCTGTGCCAGGGGCTGGGGCACAAAGGCAAAGCTAGCAGCCACGACCTCACCGCCCCGTGAGAGCATCATCTACAAAACGGCTGTGACTAGGGTGGGTGCAGGGTGCAGGGGGAGCCCCAAATACCTCAGGGAAGGTTCTCCAGTGGAGTTAAAGGTGAGATGGGATTTGAAGGATGAGGAAGGGCATTCCAGGTGTAGGGCACTGCATGTGCAAAGGCAGGGAGGTAGGAAACAGCCCGCATGGACTTGGAACTGTGGGAGGGCGATGGAGCCCAGGGTGATGGAGCCAAGGTCCAGGAAATCTGCTGGGTGAGATTGGGGTCCCAGAACCAACTACCTGGACCCTATGTCTCCTTGATCTCCTTTGCTCCTGGTGGCCTGGCCAGGAAGAAGCCCCTCCTACCTGCCCAAAAGGAGGCTTTGAGGCTGGAGAGAGAGTGAAGGAGGGGCCAGCTGGTGTGTATTTTTGGATTGCTTCTCAGAAATCTCCTCCTCCTCCTCCAACATCTGGGCAACCGGGTGGCAGCTGGGGGAGGACCTGTGAGCTGGGCTGAGTTGAGGGGGAGGTGGACTGGGGGTAGGAACCTCTGCTCCCCTCTCTGAGCCTCAGTTTTGGCATCTAGAATATGGGCACGACCACCCAGTTGCTGGCTCCTGTCAACCCAGGGGCTCCGGGAAGCGCAGGCCCAGGCTGGACTCGTGATGGGGAAGGCCTGGGAGGTGAGGTTGTGCACTGAACAGCGTCCATGACTTCACTTCTCATACCTCACACTGCAAATGTTCCTATAATTTGACATGTTTTCAGATTTTATTGGAAGTTTTTTTAGACCGTTTTAATATTTATTATGACAATTCTCCAGTCCGTAAGGGTCTTGAAGATGAAGCACCTTCTTATAACTTGGCTAAAAGGCGCCTGGGGTTCAGTGCTGGTCACCTTCCCATCAGGGACGTTTCCAGAGCACACAATGCCCCGGGGGGATCCTGGTCCTAGAGGGGCCACGCATAGGCTGACGGTTTCTGACTCCAGGGAAAGGACAGGGCCCCGAGCCTCTGTGTTCCTCTCACTCTGGGTGGATCAGGCTGGGGAGTGGGCTGTGGAGAGGCTCAGAAGGGACTGTGAGAACTGCCTGCTCTTCCAGCCACTAGGTTCTCCCCGAGGACAGAGAGCCCCAGATTTCTAGAAAGGGTGTCGCAGTGCACTCCAAAAAAGGTTTGTGGGGGTTTTTTTTGTTTTTTTGTGTGTTTTTTTAATATATTTTAATGATTTTTTACAGAGAGGAAGGGAGAGAGATAGAGAGTTAGAAACATCGATGAGAGAGAAACATCGATCAGCTGCCTCCTGCACATCTCCTACTGGGGATGTGCCCGCAACCCAGGTACATGCCCTTGACCGGAATAGAACCTGGGACCCTTCAGTCCACAGGCCGATGCTCTATCCATTGAGCCAAACCGGTTTCGGATGGTTTGTGTTCTTGTTGGTTTGCATATGACCTTTAAGCCTTAAATTGTTTTTAGAATACAAAGGAAATTTAAAGAGCAACAGTAAGTAACCCCCAAGCACAACCGCTTGTCCCAGAGACGGGTCAGTGGTACCCATCTTTGGTGCATCAGATGAGACAATATTCCAATGGCTGACCTCCCCATGCCTGTTTCCTCCTCTGTAAAATGTTGATAATACTTCATGCATCTGAGATGGCTGTGAGCACTGAGCAAGCCGGCCTGTGTGATGTAGTGAAGGCTGCACAGAGACTTACAACTCGAGGCTACAAACGCCTGCCTCCATTCCTACCCAGTGTGATGTCTGTGGAGACCTCGTCTTACCCGCAGCAGAGTATACTGGGGTGTGACAGAACTCACTATCTGTGCAGAGTGGGGACATTCTGGTTGTTTCTAGTCTTTTGTACCCACAGGCGTTTGCCAAAACAGTGTACGCAGCATGTCTTTGGGGTTATCTCCTGTAAACATAAGCCCTGCCAAATGTCATGTGCTCACATCTCAAATAGATATTTCCTCATCACCTCCCAAGGGTTGTAAACAGCTCACGCTCAACCTGTGCTACAGGGCCAGCACCCCTGCCTGCGGGGCCTGGTTCTAACCCGACAGGGAGTCCACGCTCACGACTGGAGAATGAGAAACGCACCTTGGTGAGAAGCAGCCGTTCCCGCGTCCAGAGCAACACACCCAGCGATGGATTCACAGCTGCAGATCCACCGCTCCGTCTCCTCCTTTCTGCAGCACCTGCCAGTCAGTGTGTGGAACGGGCCGGAGAGAGGGCACGGGGTGGAGGGGGGCAGAGTGGGGGTGGAGGGGAACAGAACAGGCAAGAGGGGCCCCAGGGGGCCAGAGAGCAGGCTCATCTGTCTCCTCGGGCGGAACCCTCTCAATCCCGAGTCACTACCGCCCCCTTTTCACAGATGGGGAAACAGGCATCATCACAGGGCCTGTTGGGACAGAGTTCAACACCTCACCTGACCTTTGAGAGGCTTCCATCAAAATGCTGACTGTCCCGCCCTAACCGGTGTTGCTCAGTGGATAGAGCGTCGGACCTTGGACTGAAGGGTCCCAGGTTCGATTCCCGGTGGGGGCACAGGCCCGGGTTGCAGGCTGGGTCCCCAGTGTGGGGCGTGCAGAAGGTAGCAGATCCATGATTCTCTCTCATCATGCATGTTTCTATCTCCCTCTCCCTTCCTCTCTGAAATCAATAAATATATATATATAAAAATGTTCTGAGATAAGAGGATGTTCTGAGACAGGAGGTGACACAGGACACAGGTAATCCTCTTGGAATCAATGATCTGCAATCTCTTTTTATAACATATGATTAAGTCAAGAGCTCAAGTTTTCTTGATGTACCTCCTACAAACAATAAACACTGTTACCTGGAGGATTTTTAGGGTAGGGATTATAACTGTACTAGGTCCATCAGAAACAGCCCATCAGTCCACTGGATTTCACTTCCGGTGGGAGTCGCCTCCGCAGCCCGCAGGTCTGTGCGCCCCAATAGCCCGCCTGGGCCCCTCCCCAGCGAAGTCCCTGGGGCCCTAGTGGTGGCACCG